ATACTCTACGTCTTGTCTGAAAATATTCCACTAGCATCATACTGTCCTGTTTAAAAATATACCCACTAGTAATCTACTGTCTGTATATACCATTCCCATACTTTTGAAAATATATCCCCTAGTAATCCTGTTCGGGTCTGATAATATATCCCTATTTACTTAAAATTCGATAATAACCCCAAAAGTACATCATACTGTCTCAGTCTGAAATTATCCCTTACATCATACTGCCCAGTCTGAAAATACCCTTAGTAATCAACGTCTAGTCTGATAAAAATTCCATAGTACATCTACTGTTCTTCTGAAATTATCCACTAAAAATCATACTGTCCTGTCGTAATATATCCACTAACTCATACTGTCTCTGTCTGTAAATATCCCCTATACATCATACTGCTGATAATATATCCACTAGTACATCATACTGTTCTGTCTGATAATTACCCACTAGTACATCATACTGTCTTGTTGTAATATACCCTAGTACATATACTGTCTCAGTCTGATAATATTCCACTAGACATCATAATGTCTGAAAATAATCCCTAGTACACATACTGTCTCGTCTGATAATTTACCCACAGTACATCTACTGCGATAAATATCCACTAGAAAACTTTCTACGTCTCATTTGAAATTTTCCAAGTACATCATACTGTCCTGTCTAAAATATCCACTAAACAAGCTTGCTGTAAAAATTCCACTAGAACATACTGTCTCAGCTGAAATTATCCAAGTAATCATACTGTCTGATAATTACCCCTATACTCATATGTCTCGTTGAAAATATCCCCCCAGTACTCATGTCGATAATATATCCACTAGTACTCATACGTCCTGTCTATAATATATCCCTAGTACATCATACGTCTTTTTTTGATAATATTTTCACTAAAAATCATCTGTCCTGTCTGATAATATATCCACTATCATACTGTTGATAATATATCCACTGTACATCATCTGTCTGTTGAAAATATCCACAGTAATCTTTTCCCGATAATTTCCACTAGTAATCATACTGTCGATAATAATCCACTAGTACACATACGTTCAGTTGTAAAATCCAATAGTACAATCTACTGTCTGAAAAATATATCCCTAGTACATCACATGTCTCGTCTGATAATATCCACTATACATATTGTCTCTGTCTGATAATATATCCCTAGTATCATACGTTCTGTTTATAATATCCACTAGTACATCTGTCTGATAATATATCCACTATCCCTTTACTGTCTCGTCTATAAATATCCAATACATTTTACGTCTGTTGAAAATACCCAAATAGTACATCTATGTCTCTGTATAATATATCCCTGAATCTTTTGGTTCTGTTGAAATTTATCCATAGTACATCATCTGTCTTGTTGATAATATTCCACTAACATATACGTCTAAATATATCCACTGACATAAACTGTCTCAGTTAAATATATCCATGGGAAATACTGTTGATAAAAACCCACTGTACATCATCTGTCTGTAAAAAACCACTATCATCATACGTCTTGTTGATAATTATCCATAGTCTTTAACTGTCTCTGTCTAATAAATATCCATGTACATCATAGTCTGTTGAAAATACACTAGTACCTCTTTTCCCCATTCTGATAATATTCCCTAGTCATCATACGGTCTCGTCTGATAATATCCATAGACTCATACGTTGATAATTTTCCACTAGTACTATATTCTAGCTGATAATATATCCACTGAAATCTACGTTTGATAAATATCCACTAGACATACCTTTTGTAATATATCCCTATACATAATATGCCCTTGTCTGATAATATACCCACTTACATATTGTCTCTTTTTGAAAATTATCCACTAGAAAAACTACGCTCAGTCTGATAATATATCCAAGTACATATACGTTGATAAAACCCACAGTAATCATACTGTCTTGTTGATAATATATCCCTAGTCTCATACTGTCTGAAAATATACCCACTAGAAAATATACGTCTCGTTGATAAAAATCCACTAGAACCCAACGTCTATAAATACCATAGTAATCATACGTTGATAATAATCCACTTTTTAATATACGTTTGTTATAATTTTCCCACTAGACATCATACTGTCTCTGTTGTTAATATACCCACAGACTCATATGTTCGTCTGATAAAAATTCCAAGAAACCTACTGCTGAAATATCCACTAGTACAATACTGTTGAAAATATATCCCCTAGTCATCAACGTTGAAAAATTTATCCAAAGAACATACTGTTCTGTCTGATATTAACCACAGACATCATGCTTCTCAGTTGATAATATACCCATAGACATCATAAAGTCCGTCGATAAATATCCAAGAAAATCATACTGTTGTAATATATCCACTAGCATCATACGTTCGTCTGATAATATACCCCCTAGTAATCTACTTTTCCTGTTGATAATAACCACTAGTAAATCATACTGTCTCAGCTGATAATAACCCACTAGTACTCATCTGTCTGAAAATATCCACTAGTACATCAAGTCTTGTCTGATAAATTACCATAGAAAACTGTCTGATAATATCCACTTTTCATCATATGTCTCGTCGAAAATATTCCACTAGTACACATCTGTCATGTTTGATAATATACCCCCTATACATATATGTTCTGTCTGAAAATATATCCCTATCCATATACTGTCTTGTTAAATATATCCACTAGTACTCTAGTCGATAAATATCCACTGTACTCATACTGTCTCTGTTGATAATAATCCATATACTTTCATACGCTTGTCTGATAATATATCCACTGTCTCATATGTTCAGTCTGAAAAAAATTCCATAGAATCATACTGTCTGAAAATAATCCACTAGTACATCATACTGTCTCTTTTGAAAATAAAATCCACTAGAACTACGGATAAATATCCTATACATCATACGTCTCTGTTGAAATTAACCCTAGTACATCTACTGTCTCGTCTGATAAAACCCCATAGTACATCCACTGTTTGTTGTTATATCCATAGTACATCTCTGTCTCTGCTGATTATATCAACTATAATCATACTGTTCTGTTGAAAAATTATCCACTATACATCATACGTTGATAAAACCCCCAAAACCCTAAACTTTCTCGTTGTAATAATCCATAGACATTTTTGTCTGGATAATATATCCACATACATCATACTGTCTCTGTTGAAAATAATCCACTAGTACATCTTTTGTCTTGTCTAAATAATTCCATGTACTCATACTGTCTCGTCTGAAAATATATCCCAGTAATCATATTTGATAATATATCCCATACATCATATGTCTTGTCGATAATATTCCACAGTACATCTACTGTCTGAATTAATCCACTAGTAATCAACTTTCTTTTGAAAATCCCCCAAAGTCATCTCGTTGATAATATCCCCACTAGTACATCATATGTCTCTGTTGATAATTTCCCACTGTACATCCACGTCTCTTTTTATAATATCCCTAGTACATCATTTCAGTTGATAAATTCCACTAGTAAATACTGTTCGTCTGATAATATATCCCTAGTACTCATACGTGATAATTTCCACGTACATCATAGTCTCTGTCTGAAAATTATCCCTAGTAAATCAATGTCTTGTCTGATAATATATCCATAAATATACTGTCTCTGTTGTAATTTATCCCACTAGTACATCATATGTTGAAAATTTCCCCACTAGTACTTTCATACGTCTCAGTCTATAATTATCCACTAGAAAACATCGTTCAGTCTGATAATAATCCATATACATCTACTGTCTTAATATATCCACTAGAAATCATACGTCTCTGTTGATAAAATCCACTAGTACATCATACTGTCTGTATAAATATCCACTGTAATCTACGTCTCAGCTATAATAATCCCTGGAATCATACTGTCTCTGATAATATCCACTAGAACACATACGTTTGAAATATATCCATATACATCTACGGGTGAAATATATCCATAGTACTCATACGCTCAGTCTGATAATATATCCATAGTACATTAAACTGTCTGAAAAATTTTCCTAGTACATATACGTCTGTCTATAATAAAATCCACTAGTACATCAAAAATTTCCTGATAAATATCCACTAGTACATCATACGTCTCTGTCTGATAATATACCACAGTACATATATGTCTTCTGATAATAATCCCAAAATCAACTGTCTCTGTTGTAATAACCCACTAGTACATTCATACTGTCTGATAATATATCCACTAGTACATCATACTGTCTGATAATATATCCACTAGTACATCATACTGTCTGATAATATATCCACTAGTACATCATACTGTCTGATAATATATCCACTAGTACATCATACTGTCTGATAATATATCCACTAGTACATCATACTGTCTCTGTCTGATAATATATCCACTAGTACATCATACTGTCTGATAATATATCCACTAGTACATCATACTGTCTGATAATATATCCACTAGTACCAAAGTCAGTGGTCAGAAACACTGTCATAAAGGTTTTACAACATCCAACCTGTTACCTGCAACAAATACCTTCATTCATCCATTTGTCTTTACGTTTTACATTTTTTAGTCATTTGGCAGACGCTCCTATCCAAAAAGACTTAATAGTTAGTGTATTCATCTTAAGATAGCTAGGTGAGACAACCACATATCACAGTCGTAGTAAATACATTTCTCCTCAATAAAGAAGTTATAGTATGTTTTAGAATTTTTTTTTGTCTGCTGAAAGAAATGTTTGAACCTAAATTGGCAGGGGCAAAGACGAACAAATAAAAGGAATGTACCGCTATCTCCAAATATCTGTCAGGTAGATAGAACTCAAAATTAGTTATCTGCTGTGAGCTTTGTTGCTGATATTAACAACAGTAAAGTTTATTTAAATTTAAACTAATACAAAATATTTGAACTGAAAAGTATTAAACTGTGGTGGGACAGCAGTTGAGGTTTACGACAGTGAACTTATTTACAGACTGTTCCGTTGTCCTAGAACTGACGGTAATTAAAGCGAGGGAGTGAGGATGGAAGAGGGACGGAAGCGGTGGGATGACCCTGCCACTTCCCATTACAAGACCCCACTGTTTCCTCGTCTCAGGCTAGGCTCAGCGGGCCGGCTGGCAGGCAGTACTGCTCAGTACTGCTCATTCATATCTCTCATGTCTCTCTCTCTGTGTGTGTGTCTCTCTCTCTCTCTCCCTCTCCCCCATTCTTATTCACTGCTCTGATCGGCGGTCTGATGTGTTGCTCACATGTCTCAGTATTAAGTCCGATGACACAGCTTAACCCTAGTCCTGAACTAAAACCGGACCATAGACTAAATGAATGATATCCCACATGTTGTTCAGTCATAGTCAATACTGTAGTATACACACACAGACTTGGTACGAGCCTCCACCTCCCAAACAGACTTGGTACGAGCCTCCACCTCCCAAACAGACTTGGTACGAGCCTCCACCTCCCAAACAGCCTTGGTGCGAGCCTCCCATCCTTCACACCCACCTCTTCTCTGTTGTTGTATCTGACATCATCTCACAAACATGTCTGTACACATTGGTCCTTGCCACATTCCAGAATGATCAGATCACCAAGGTGATGGGATGGTTCTACTCTCTCGCCCTCCTTCTGCCCTCCCTTGGTTGCCAGTTCCACATATTTTACAGTTGTTCAGCTACTGCTTGTCCAGCCGTGGTGTTGTTTTGCAGAGAGGCTCTGGGAAGTCCTTGCCCTCCGAGGTCAGGCCAGACCGCCTCCTAGTTCCTGCTTTGACAGACACACAAAAACACAGAGACTTTTTCCTGGTTCCACTTGGTCTCAGAAGACTTCACATTGTACATTTTAGTCATTTAGCAGACGCTCTTATCCAGAGCAATTAGGGTTTAGTGGCTTGCTCAAGGGCACATCGACAGATTTTTCACCTAGTCGGCTCGGGGATTTGAACCAACGACCTTTCGGTTACTGGCCCAATGCTCTTAACCACTAAGCTACCTGCCGCACCGTCAGTCTGTAGACTGGGGAGGCTTTGTGACCGACCAGTCATGTTAGTGAAACATTAGTTTGTTCTTGGTAAATAGGTCCCAATTTAGGGGCTGAATCTATAGATTAGGACTGGACTCATATAGGTAATGGCTATTGTTTTTTTATTAATAGGAAAATCATATATTTCCAATGAGATGTATTGATATGCTATATTTTGGGTAGAAAGAAAAAGGTTTTTAGAAGTGTGAAAATTGCTTGTAACATTGTTAATGAATGTATGAATGACTGACAAGATGTACGATCTAAAGTAGTGCACTACGTAGGGAATAGGGTGCCATTTTGGACGCAACTGTAGTCTTAACATCGACCTCCCATCTGTGGAGGCTTTGTCACAATATCTTGTCCTTTGCCTTGAACTCTGCTTGTGCTCCACCGTGTGTGTGTGCGCACGTGTCCACAACTTAATTATGGGACCAATAACAGATGCCAGACTTCCTGCTGATGATGCCACAGACAGACACACACGGTCTCATGGCCATGATCCACCCTATTCCCTATATAGTGCACTGCTTTTGACCCCTATGGGGTTTAGGGTGCCATTTGGGACGCAGTCTTGACCAGTGCTGTTATTTACCTGAGCTGAGCTGACCTGTCTAAACCAAACACTTTAGTTTTTACACTGCTGCTACTCGATGTTTATTATCTATGCATAGTCACTTTACCCCTACCTACATGTACAAATTATCTCCACTAACCTGTATCCCAGCACATTGACTCGGTACCCCCTGTATATAGCCTCATTATTGTTATTTTATTGTGTTACTTTTTATATATTTTTTTACTTTTGTTTATTTGGTAAATATATTCTTAACTCTTTCTTGAACTACATTATTGGTTAAGGGCTTGTAAGTAAGCATTTCACGGTAAGGTCTACACCTGTTGTATTCGGCGCATGTGACAAAGTTTGATTTGACTGGGAGGGTTATCATGACGTATGCTGCGATAATGGGCCCTGGCTGGGAGGGTTATCATGACGTATGCTGCGATAATGGGCCCTGGCTGGGAGGGTTATCATGACGTATGCTGCGATAATGGGCCCTGGCTGGGAGGGTTATCATGACGTATGCTGCGATAATGGGCCCTGGCTGGGAGGGTTATCATGACGTATGCTGCGATAATGGGCCCTGGCTGGGAGGGTTATCATGACGTATGCTGCGATAATGGGCCCTGGCTGGGAGGGTTATCATGACGTATGCCGCAATAAAGGGTTACCACCCAAAACATGTTAAAGCTAAGCCAACAGCAGATGCTATGAGAACCTGATTGATAGGATGACGATCGACTTAACAAGGTAACCAGAAAGTACTTTATATAATCAGGTTCTCACACAGTCTCTGCTCTTGGCTTAGCTTTAATATGATGTGTTGGGTGAGATGCGGACCAAAAATGCCCTCTGGTCCACAATAAGGTTCATAGCGTGCATCATATCACTATGTGTCAGTATGTTAATGCATCAGGACTTCGCTAGGCTAGAGGCAATTAGCTAAGTGGGTGTGGTGGGTTGTCCCCTGTTACAGGAGGCTTTTTATTGGCCGAGCCCAAACCGCTCGCTGTAAGATAAACATTTTCAAGTTGTTTTGACAGCTGAGCCTGGTCCTGTAGAGATGATGTCATAGCAGCAGGACGATTGGATGCGTCCCAAATCACACCCTATTCCCTACATGGTGCCCTATGGGCCCTGGTCAGCATTAGTTCACTATATAGGGAATAGGGTGCCATGTTAGATGCAGGCGTAGTCTGATATTAAATAAGCTTTCGAATAGGTTATCTCACCCTATGACACAGTGGGATGAGATCACTGGTGTTATTATAATGGAGATAGGTGGTTTCACATCAGGCCTTTATATAATATAGATGGGTGGTTTCACGTCAGGCCTTTATATAATATAGATGGGTGGTTTCACGTCAGGCCTTTATATAATATAGATGGGTGGTTTCACGTCAGGCCTTTATATAAATGTAGATGGGTGGTTTCACGTCAGGCCTTTATATAAATGTAGATGGGTGGTTTCACATCAGGCCTTTATATAATCAAATCAAATCAAATCAAATTTTATTGGTCACATGCGCCGAATACAACAGGTGCAGACATTAGTGAAATGCTTACTTACAGCCCTTAACCAACAGTGCATTTATTTAAAAACAAAAAAGTAAGAATAAAACAACAACAAAAAAGTGTTGAGAAAAAAAGAGCAGAAGTAAAATAAAGTGACAGTAGTGAGGCTATATATACAGTAACATAAAGTGACAGTAGGGAGGCTATATATACAGGGGGGTACCGTTGCATAGTCAATGTGCGGGGGCACCGGCTAGTTGAGGTAGTTGAGGTAATATGTACATGTGGGTAGAGTTAAAGTGACTATGCATAAATACTTAACAGAGTAGCAGCAGCGTAAAAAGGATGGGGTGGGGGGGGCAGTGCAAATAGTCCGGGTAGCCATGATTAGCTGTTCAGGAGTCTTATGGCTTGGGGGTAGAAGCTGTTGAGAAGTCTTTTGGACCTAGACTTGGCACTCCGGTACCGCTTGCCGTGCGGTAGCAGAGAGAACAGTCTATGACTAGGGTGGCTGGAGTCTTTGACAATTTTGAGGGCCTTCCTCTGACACCGCCTGGTATAGAGGTCCTGGATGGCAGGGAGCTTTGCCCCAGTGATGTACTGGGCCGTACGCACTACCCTCTGTAGTGCCTTGCGGTCAGAGGCCAAGCAGTTGCCATACCAGGCGGTGATGCAACCAGTCAGGATGCTCTCGATGGTGCAGCTGTAGAATTTTTTGAGGATCTGAGGACCCATGCCAAATCTTTTTAGTCTCCTGAGGGGGAATAGGCTTTGTCGTGCCCTCTTCACGACTGTCTTGGTGTGTTTGGACCATGATAGTTCGTTGGTGATGTGGACACCAAGGAACTTGAAGCTCTCAACCTGTTCCACTACAGCCCCGTCGATGAGAATGGGGGCGTGCTCAGTCCTCTTTTTTTTCCTGTAGTCCACAATCATCTCCTTTGTCTTGGTCACGTTGAGGGAGAGGTTGTTGTCCTGGCACCACACGGCCAGATGGGTGGTTTCACATCAGGCCTTTATATAATATAGATGGGTGGTTTCACATCAGGCCTTTATATAATATAGATGGGTGGTTTCACATCATGCCTTTATATAATATAGATGGGTTATTTCACATCAGGCCTTTATATAACATAGATGGGTGGTTTCACATCAGGCCTTTATATAATATAGATGGGTGGTTTCACATCAGGCCTTTATATAATATAGATGGGTGGTTTCACATCAGGCCTTTATAAATGTAGATGTGTGGTTTCACATCAGGCCTTTATATAATATAGATGGGTGGTTTCACATCATGCCTTTATATAATATAGATGGGTGGTTTCACATCAGGCCTTTATATAATATAGATGGGTGGTTTCACATCAGGCCTTTATATAATATAGATGGGTGGTTTCTCATCAGGCCTTTATATAATATAGATGGGTGGTTTCACATCAGGCCTTTATATAATATAGATGGGTGGTTTCTCATCAGGCCTTTATATAATATAGATGGGTGGTTTCTCATCAGGCCTTTATATAATATAGATGGGTGGTTTCACATCATGCCTTTATATAATATAGATGGGTGGTTTCACATCAGGCCTTTATATAATATAGATGGGTGGTTTCACATCAGGCCTTTATATAATATAGATGGGTGGTTTCACATCAGGCCTTTATATAATATAGATGGGTGGTTTCTCATCAGGCCTTATATAATATAGATGGGTGGTTTCACATCAGGCCTTTATATAATATAGATGGGTGGTTTCTCATCAGGCCTTTATATAATATAGATGGGTGGTTTCACATCAGGCCTTTATATAATATAGATGGGTGGTTTCACATCAGGCCTTTATATAATATAGATGGGTGGTTTCTCATCAGGCCTTTATATAATATAGATGGGTGGTTTCTCATCAGGCCTTTAGGAGGGAGGGAGATAAGGAGGGAGGGAGGGAGATGAGGGAGGGAGGGAGATGAGGGAGGGAGGGAGATGAGGAGGGAGGGAGATGAGGAGGGAGGAAGAGCCGTCTGATTTTCTATGGATAAGAGCTTCTTTTAAATGACTAAAATGTAAATGCGAAGCTATAAGGTACCCTCTTCATCACCTGCATAATAAGGGTTTCAGAGGAAGGCAGTAGAACATGTCGTAGCACGTCTCTAGCTGAGAAATATATTTTAAGAACTGGAACACCCCAAGCGTTACAAGATCAGTCAACCAGTACAACCTCTGTCAGCTCTGTCAGTATCATGTGCGTGTCTGTTTGTAACGCGAACATGCACGCACTGCAGTGTAATGTAATGAATGGGATTCAGTGACAGCTCACACTGTAAACACGCCTGAGGTCTGAATCAACAAGGATCCCTCTGTCCCCTTGAGATCTACAAAGCTCAACCACTATAAACATTAAAACACCTCCCTGAGAACTAAAGCATTAAAAACACCACACTGTCTGGGAAATGTGGAATTATGGACAAAGATTGATCTAATTTATAAACGAATTGAACAAAGGTTATAAAAGCTTCACAGAACCTTCATAATGTCTTCATAAAAGCACTACAATACCAGGAACCTTACATTCACAATACAAAAGCTGTTTTTCCTACGAAGCTTATTGATGGAGCATTTATTAAGAGGAAACCCCTGGTCTGGACCTTAGTTCTGGTGATACTGTCTACTGTTAGCTACTGGTTTCGCTGGCATGATAAAGGCCCTTTCCATAGTCAATAACTACACTGAACAAAAACATAAACGCAACACACAACAATTTATTGAGTTACAGTTCATATAAGGAAATCAGTCAATTAAAATAAATTCATTAGGCCCTAATCTATGGATTTCACATGACTGGGAATTACAGATATGGATCTGGAGGGCCTGGATCAGAAAACCAGTCAGTATCTGAGTTGATCAGGCTGTTGATTGCGGCCTGTGCAATGTTGTCCCTCGCCTCTTCAATGGCTGTGCGAAGTTGCTGGATATTGGCGGGAACTGGAACACACTGTCGTACACGTCGATCCAGAGCATCCCAAACATGCTCAATGGGTGACATGTCTGGTGAGTCTGCAGGCCATGGAAGAACTGGGACATTTTCAGCTTCCAGGAATTGTGTACAGATCCTTGCGACATGGGACTGTGCATTATCTGGCTGAAACATGAGGGTGATGGCGGTGGATGACTGAGACGACAATGGGCCTCAGGATCTCGTCAACATATCTCTGTGCATTCAAATTGTCATCAATAAAATGCAATTGTTTTCGTTGTCCGTAGCTTATGCCTGCCCATACCATAACCCCACCGCCACCATGGGGCACTCTGTTCACAACATTGACATCAGCAAACCGCTCGTCCACACCACGCAATACACGTGGTCTACGGTTGTCAGGTCGGTTGAACGTCCTGCCAAATTCTCTAAAACGACATTGGAGGCGGCTTATGGTAGAGAAATGAACATTACATTCTCTGGCAACAGCTCTGGTGGACATTCCTGCAGTCAGCATGCCAATTGCACGCTCCCTCAAAACTTGAGACATCTGTGGCATTGTGTTGTGTGACAAAACTGCACATTCTAAAGTGGCCTTTTATTGTCCCCAGCACAAGGTGCACCTGTGTAACGATCATGCTGTTTAATCAGCTTCTTGATATGCCACACCTGTCAGGTGGATGGATTATCTTGGCAAAGGAGAAACGCTCACTAACAGGGATGTAAAAAAATTAGTGCACAAAATTAGAGCTAAATAATATTTTTGTGCGTTTGGAAAATTTCTGGGATCTTTTATTTCAGCTCATGAAACAATGGACCAACACTTTACATGTTGCGTTTATATTGTTGTTCAGTGTAGATCCCAATGACGTAATGTTATGTTTACATGGTTGTGTCTGGGAGTGGCTACTTTGGCTACTCTTCAGTTGATAGGGGTGAGGCTCCTGGCTTATAAACAGTGTCTGTCTGTCTGTCTGTCTGTGAAGCATGATGTTGTTGTTGAGGTGAGACAGAAGTCAAGGTAGACAGACAGTCAGACATCTGCTTTTTCTCCACTTCCTGACAAACAATACTTTGTCCCTGTCTGCTTCTCTCTCTCTCTCTCTCTCTCTCTCTCTCTCTCTCTCTCCGTCGCTCTCTCTCCGTCTCTCTCTCGCTCTGTTTCTTGTCTCTGTGTCACTCTCACTCAGTGTTTTGTCACACACACACACACACACACACACACACACACACACACACACACACACACACACACACACGCTAGAGCAGATGGTGGAGAGAAGGCAGAGGAGGAAATGACACTAAGAGTTCTGATTAAAGATAATTCTCCTCTGTTAGTCAAGCTGTCAGGGGGGGCTGAGATGAATGAACCAGCCCCCTCCCACCTCCCCCCCTCCCTCTCCCCCCTCCCCCCCCTCTCTCTCTCTCTCTCTCTCTCTCTCTCCCCTCTCCCCCCTCCCTCTCCCCCCTCCCCCCTCTCTCTCTCTCTCTCTCGCTCCCCTCTCTTCCCTCCCACATTACTCATCTCCTTCATTAAGGAAGTTTTCGCCTGCAGATTGAGGCTGATTTTGTATTTAACTACTCACAGATTTGCGGAAGCTGTTCCTCACATCTACATTACATGAACGTTTTCACATCTACATTACGTGAACGTTTCGGCGCGTTTATGTTCAGCGTACGGAACATGGCTGCTCTTTTCAGGAGTTGATCAAACCCTACATGTTTCAAATAGACTGGGGGGGGAGTAGTATGTCATCAAGTGTGCAGATTTCTCTCAATGTACAGCACAGCACATAGACATTCAGATCACACTGTCTACCCACAAATGACGGAAGGTAGAGTATCATGCAATCTAAGAAGAACAAGAAGGAAGGCTGTTTTCTAAACTGGTGCGGTGACTCTGGTTCAATGGCAGTTATAGTTCAATGGGAGGTGATGCATTGCCTTGGTAACTCTGTATAGAGACCAGACTCACGCCAGACTACTGAAGTGTTTAAAAGAATTTAAAACAGAAGGAAGCATTAGAAACATCATAATACCCCGGAACTTTGTTTAAATTCCTTTGGCTTGGCTTGACTCATCTAGTATTGCTGCTGGAACATCAGACCGTCACAGAACTCTTTGGTTAGTGTGATGGTGTTAATCAGACCGTCACAGAACTCTTTGGTTAGTGTGATGGTGTTAATCAGACCGTCACAGAACTCTTTGGTTAGTGTGATGGTGTTAATCAGACCATCACAGTACTCTTTGGTTAGTGTGATGGTGTTAATCAGACCGTCACAGAACTCTTTGGTTAGTGTGATGGTGTTAATCAGACCGTCACAGTACTCTTTGGTTAGTGTGATGGTGTTAATCAGACCGTCACAGAAACTCTTTGGTTAGTGTGGTGGTGTTAATCAGACCGTCACAGAACTCTTTGGTTAGTGTGATGGTGTTAATCAGACCGTCACAGAACTCTTTGGTTAGTGTGATGGTGTTAATCAGACCATCACAGTACTCTTTGGTTAGTGTGATGGTGTTAATCAGACCGTCACAGTACTCTTTGGTTAGTGTGATGGTGTTAATCAGACCGTCACAGTACTCTTTGGTTAGTGTGATGGTGTTAATCAGACCGTCACAGAACTCTTTGGTTAGTGTGGTGGTGTTAATCAGACCGTCACAGAACTCTTTGGTTAGTGTGATGGTGTTAATCAGACCGTCACAGAACTCTTTGGTTAGTGTGATGGTGTTAATCAGACCGTCACAGAACTCTTTGGTTAGTGTGGTGGTGTTAATCAGACCGTCACAGAACTCTTTGGTTAGTGTGATGGTGTTAATCAGACCGTCACAGAACTCTTTGGTTAGTGTGATGGTGTTAATCAGACCGTCACAGTACTCTTTGGTTAGTGTGATGGTGTTAATCAGACCATCACAGTACTCTTTGGTTAGTGTGATGGTGTTAATCAGACCGTCACAGAACTCTTTGGTTAGTGTGATGGTGTTAATCAGACCGTCACAGTACTCTTTGGTTAGTGTGATGGTGTTAATCAGACCGTCACAGAACTCTTTGGTTAGTGTGATGGTGTTAATCAGACCGTCACAGTACTCTTTGGTTAGTGTGATGGTGTTAATCAGACCGTCACAGAACTCTTTGGTTAGTGTGATGGTGTTAATCAGACCGTCACAGTACTCTTTGGTTAGTGTGATGGTGTTAATCAGACCGTCACTGTACTCTTAGTGTTAATGTAGGAATGGTAATATGGTCTTCTATGCTGTGTTGTCTCCCAGCTGTCTGCTGTACAGGGTCAGTGTTTTGACTGGTGGGAAACCTGAGGAGATTCATTTGAGTTGCAGAGGGACTAATGTATTCGCTGGACATAAACTCCTGTCCTGTCTTGTCCTGTCCTGTCCTGTCCTGTCTTGTCCTGTCCTGTCGGACGCTTTTTTTCCCCCTCTCAGCTTTTCTGTTTAACATCTCTTCACGTGGGTCCCAAATGGCACCTTATTCCTTATATTGTGCACTATTTTTGTCCAGGGCCCTGGTCTAAAGTAGTGCACTGTGTAGGGGATAAGGTGGCGTTTGGGACCCAGCGTTCATATTTATACTGTATCAGCGGGGTACGTGGGATTGTGCCACAGCCAGCACAGAGAGACAGCCAGACAGCTTCTGGATCCTCTCACAGCACGGCTGTGTCCCAAATGGCACCCTATACTTTACTGTATATACAGTAGTGCACTACTTTTGACCAGAGCCCTATATGAAAAGAGCCATTGGAAATAACACACATGGGCACAATTTGGTTTGCCTGCAGTTGGGTGGTTTATCAGTTTTAAAATGTCTGTGGGCAAATTGAATTACAAAACCATGATGCATCTGCAAAAAGTAAACTATCATTCTGAGGACTAAGTGTCACGATCGTCGAAAGGAGTGGGCCAATGCGCAGCGTTGGAATGCGAACATCTTTTATTTATATTTCACCACACGAACAAAAACAACAAAAACGATACGTGAAGTCCTTGGGTACATACACAAACCAACACGGAACAAGATCCCACAATACACTGTGCCAAACAGGCTGCCTAAGTATGGTTCCCAATCAGAGACAACAAGCAACAGCTGATTCTCGTTGCCTCTGATTGAGAACCATCCCGGCCAACATAGATACACATGAACTGGAAACTGAAACAAAGAACACAAAACATAGACTCTACACACCCTGGCTCAACATAAAAGAGTCCCTAGAGCCAGGGCGTGACACTAAGATGTCTAGATTTTGGCAAAGTGTCTTCTTTTAAATGTGGTCCTCCGTAGCTCAGCTGGTAGAGCACGGCACTTGTAACGCCAGGGTAGTGGGTCCGATCCCCGGGACCACCCATACACACAAAAAAAAAATTATGCACGCATGACTGTAAGTCGCTTTGGATAAAAGCGTCTGCTAAATGGCATATTATATTATTATTAAATAAATGTTACATTTTCACCATAACTTTGTACATTTTCACCTCAAATTCTTATTACCGAAATGCATACTGTACATTTCTCAGGTCATTTGATATCATTATACTTAAAAAAATCTAACTTTATTTGAATAAAACAAAATATGTTGCTGTAGTTTGTCTATAAATCATAAAGGTATACTACTGCTGAAGTTTACATTAAACTATAATATTTATTAAAATTTTTCAAGTTCCAGTAAAAACTCCAATCAGTTTTTAAATGAAGTTTTATTCCCCAATGATGCACCATCTAGAAGAGTTAAGTTAATTTATTTGCTTATACAGTGCATTTGGAAAGTATTCAGACCCCCGTTAGTCTTATTCTAAAATTGATTAAATTATTTATTTTTCTCATCAATCTGCACACAATACCCCATAATGTCAAAGCGAAAACACGTTTTTAGAAATGTTTGCTAATTTATTAAAAATTTAAAAAAAATAAAAAAATACCTTATTTACGTTAAGTATTCAGACCCTTTGCTATGATACTTGAAATTGAGCTCAGGTGCATTGTGTTTCCATTGATCATCCCGGAGATGTTTCTTCAACTTGATTGGAGTCCACCTGTGATGAATTGATTGGACATGATTGTGTAGAGCTCCGAGACAGGATTGTGTCGAGGCACAGATCTGGGGAAGGGTACCAAAAAATGTCTGCAGTGTTGAAGGTCCCCAAGAACACAGTGGCCTCCATCATTCTTAAATGGAAGAAGTTTGGAACCACCAAGACTCTTCCTAGAGCTGGTCGCCCGGCCAAACTGAGCAATCAGGGAGAATGGCCTTGGTCAGGGAGGTGACCAAAAACCCGATGGTCACTCTGAAAGAGCTCCAGAGTTCCTCTGTGGAGATGGGAGAACCTTCCAGAAGGACAACCATCTCTGCAGCACTCCACCAATCAGGACTTTATGGTGGAGTCGCCAGACGGAAGCCACTCCTCAGTAAAAGGCACATGACAGCCCGCTTGGAGTTTGCCAAAACGCAGCTAAAGACTCTCAAGCTAATGAGAAACAAGATCCTCTGGTCTGATGAAACCAAGATTGAACTCTTTGGCCTGAATGCCAAGCGTCACGTCTGGAGGAAACCTGGCACCATCCCTACGGTGAAGCATGGTGGTGGCAGCATAATGCTGTGGGGATGTTTTTCAGCGGCAGGGACTGGGAGACTAGTCAGGATCGAGGCAAAGATTAACGGAGCAAATGTACAGAGAGATCCTTAAGCTGAAAAATGACACTTGAGAATTTGTTGGTCAAATGTCAGTTTTGTTAGAATGACCCATTTATGTTTGTGGGACTTGAATTTATTGGGCGATGCTCCAGAAATGTGTGTTGTCTTAAAACATGGTGTCACTGTCACTCACACTCACACACAGACACACACACACACACACACTCACACACACACACACACACACACACACGGAGACACAGTAGTAGCTTGAGGATATCTTAGGAACTTCCTCTGTCTGTCTCTTTATTTAACCTCAAGCTGACATAAACTGATGTCACCGACCTACACACATAGATGACACCTGCTGGAGAACGCTGTGAGTACACAGAACATCCTCTCTATAACACCTGCTGGAGAACGCTGTGAGTACACAGAACATCCTCTCTATAACACAGTACTGTCTCTTGGTCGGTTATTCCATTGTAATAGCAAAGGAAAACTTAACCTCTCTGTCTCCGTGTCGGAAAGAGTGAAGCGTCGGGTCAGAAATGTTTATGAAATGACTCAATCCACATACTGTAGTTAGTTATACTATAGCTGTGGAGTTGACTCCGCCAGTTGCGTATTCCTTCATGGCTACTTTTGGAGAAAATGAGGACTTTTACCTTATCGACTGTACATCAAATGCTGTTGTTCTCTGTGATGAGCTTTTTCGGGATATTTATTTTCATTTTTATTATTAATAATAATTGTAAGCAAACATGAATACAGATACACTATATATACAAAAGTATGTGGACAAATGAGTGGATTCGGCTATTTCAGCCACACCCATTGCTGACAGGCGTATAAAATCGAGCACACAGCCATGCGATCTCCATAGACAAACATTGGGAGTACAATGGCCTTACTGAAGAGCTCAGTGACTTTCAACGTGGCACCGTCATAGGATGCCACCTTTCCAACAACTCAGGTCGTCAAATTCTGCCCTGCTAGAGCTGCCCCGGTCAACTGTAAATGCTGTTATTGTGAAGTGGAAAACTCTAGGAGCAACAACCGCTCAGCACGAAGTGGTAGGCCACACAAGCTCACAGAACGGGACCGTGGAGTGCTGAAGCACGTACCGCGTCAAAATGGTCTGTCCTCGGTTGCAACGCTCACCGCCGAGTTCCAAACTGCCTCTGGAAGCAACGTCAGCAGAAGAACTGGACTCTGGAGCAGTGGAAACTTGTTCTCTGGAGTGATGAATCACTCTTGACCATCTGGCAGTCCGACGGACAAATCTGGGTTTGGCGGAATAATAGTCTGGGGCTGTTTTTCATGGTTCGGGCTAGGCCCCTTAGTTCCAGTGAAGGGAAAACTTAACGCTACAGTGTACAATGACTTTCTAGACGATTCTGTGCTTCCAGCTTTGTGGCAACAGTTTGGGGAAGGCCCATTCCTGTTTCAGCATGACAATGCCCCCGTGCACAAAGCGAGGTCGATACAGAAATGGTTTGTCGAGATCAGTGTTGAAGAACTTGACTGGCCTGCACAGAGCCCTGACCTCAACCCCATCGAACTCCTTTTGGATGAATTGGAACACCGACTGCGAGCCAGGCCTAATCGCCCAACATCAGTGCCCGATCTCACTAATGCTCTTGTGGCTGAATGGAAGCAAGTCCCCGCAGCAATGTTCCAACATCTAGTGGAAAGCCTTCCCAGAAGAGTGGAGGCTGTTATAGCAGCAAAGGGGGAACCAACTCAATATTAATGCCCATGATGTTGGAATGAGCAGGTGTCCACATATTTTTTTTTTTTAAACATTTTTAGTCATTTAGCAGACGCTCTTATCCAGAGCGACTTACAGGAGCAATTAGGGTTAAGTGCCTTGCTCAAGGGCACATCGACAGATTTTTCACCTAGTCGGCTCGGGGATTAGAACCAGCGACCTTTCGGTTACTGGCACTACGCTCTTAACCACTAAGCTACCTGGTCATGTAGAGTATTCCCTCACGAAGAGCAGTGTTTATGACCTGCTGACTGTTCTCTCTTCTATTGATTAACATCAAATCAAATGTATTTATAAAGCCCTTTTTACATCAGCAGATGTCACAAAGTGCTTATTCATATGCTAAATCATATGCTAAATGGCATATTAATATTAATTAATTAATTAATCTTATTCAGAAACCCAGCCTAAAACCCCAAACAGCAAGCAATGCAGATGTAGAAGCATGGTGGCTAGGAAAAACTCCCTAGAAAGGCAGAAACCTAGGAAGAAACCTAGAGAGGAACCAGGCTCTAAGGGGTGGCCAGTCCTCTTCTGGCTGTGCCGGGTGGAGATTATAACAGTACATGGCCATTAAGGACAGATTATTCTTCAAGATGTTCAAACGTTCATAGATGACCAGCAGGGTCAAATAATAATCACTGGTTGTAGAGGGTGCAACATGTCAGTACATTAGGAGAGATGGTAGAAATAGGTTCACAAAGTCACCAGATAAGACAGGAGAATAACACCAGATATAACAGACTGACCCTAGCTCCCCGGCACATAGACTATTGCAGCATAGATACTGGAGACTAAGACTGGGGGGGCGTCGGGGGACACTGTGGCCCCGTCCGACGATACCCCCGGACAGGGCCAACGATACCCCCGGACAGGGCCAACCAGGCAGGATATAGCCCCACCCACTTTGCCAAAGCACAGCCCCCACACCACCAGAGGGATATCAACAGACCACCAACCTACTACCCTGAGACAAGAATGAGTATAGCCCACGAAGATCTCCTCCACCGCACGAGCCCGAGGGGGCGCAAAACCGGACAGGACGATCACGTCAGTGACTCAACCCACTCAAGTCAGGTATACTGAAAAAAAGCCTGGCATGACATGACGCACCCCTCCTAGGGACGGCATGGGAGAGCACTAGTAAGCCAGTGACTCAGCCCCCGTAGTAGGGTCAGAGGCAGAGAAGCCAAGGGGTGAGAGGGGAGCCGGCCAGGCAGAGACAGCCAAGGGCGGTTCGTCACTCCAGTGCCTTGCCGTTCACCTTCGCACCCCTGGGCCAGTCTACACTCAATCATAGGAGAGTCTTCAGTACAGGCTTAAAGGTTGAGACCGAGTCTGCGTCTCTCACATGGATACGCAGACCATACTAAATGTAGAGCTGTGTGTCGTCCACATAGCAAGAGGTAGAATATATTGTGAAAACAATAGTGGTCCTAAAACGGAACCTTGAATTGATTCGTCAATGGACAAACCATCCACCGAGACAAACTGATATTTTTCCGACAGATAAGATCTAAACCAGGAAAGAACTTGTCCGTGTAGACCAATTAGGTTTTCCCATCTCTCCAAAAGAATGTGGTGATCGATGGTGTCAAAAGCAGCACTAAGGTCTAGGAGCACGAGGACAGATGCAGAGCCTTGGTCTGACGCCATTAAAAGGTAATTTACCACCTTCACGAGTGCAGTCTCAGTGCTATGACTGGGTCTAAAACCAGAATGGAGCGGTTCGTATACATTATTTGTCTTCAGGAAAGCAGTGAGTTGCTGCGCAACATGGAATGGGAGATTTTATATAGGCCATTTTTGTTTTACATTTTCTGGGTCAAGGTTTGGCTTTTTCAAGAGAGGCTTTATTACTGCCACTTTTAGTGAGTTTGGTTCACATCCGGAGGATAGGGAGACGTTTATTATGTTCAACATAGGAGGGCCAAGCACAGGAAGTTGCTCTTTCAGAAGTTTAGTTGGAAAGGGTCTAGTAGGCAGCTGGAAGGTTTAGAGGTCATCCATCACTATTTTCATGAGATACAGGATTAAATAACTTGAGTGTCTCCATTGATCCTTGGTCCTGGCAGTTCTGTGCAGACTCTTGGAGAAATACGCAGATTCAAAGAGGAGTCCGTCATTTGCTTTCTAATGATCATGATCTTTTCATCGTAGAAGTTCATGAATTCATCACTGCTGAAGTGAAAGCCATCCTCTCTCGGGCAATGCTGCGTTGTAGTTAGCTTTTACGACAGCGTCAAACATGTATTCTGGATTGCTTTTATACTCCTCAATCAGGTTGGAAAAGTAGTCCGATCGAGCAGCAGTGATGGCTCTTCGATATTGCACAGTACTGTCCTTCCAAGCTAGTCGGAAGAGCTTCCTTCTGGGTATTTTTCTGAGCTCATTTCTGGTGACAAATGTTTTTAGAGGAGTGACTCCATCTAGGGTATTACGCAAGGTTACATTTAGATCCTTGGTTAGGTGGTTAACTGATTTTTGTTCTCCGACGTCCTTGGGTAGGTGGAGGGAGTCTGGAAGGGCCTCTAGGAATCTATTGCGCGGCTTTTGATTGATTGATTGATTGATTGATTGATTGATTTTTGATTCGGTTGGAGTCCGAGCAGATTATTTGTTGCGATTGCAAACTCGATAGTCCAGGATTATGAGGAAAAAAACATTTAGATCCACAATATTTATTCCACGGGACAGAACTAGATCCACGGTATGACTGTGGCAATGCGTAGGTCCGGAGACATGTTGGACATAACCCGCTGAGTCGATGATGGCACCGAAAGCCTTTTGGAGTGGGGGTGTGGACTTTTCCATGTGAAGATTGAAGTAAACAAAAATGTGAATATAATCTGCCATGACTACAAGGTCTGATAGGAATTCAGGGAACTCAGTGAGGAACTCTGTATACGGCCCAGGAGGCCTGTAAACAGTAGCTATAAAAAGTGGTTGGGTAGGCTGCATAGATTTCATGACTAGAAGCTTAAAATATGAAAAAGCATTTTTGTAAAAATAAATAAATATATATTGACATTTGCTGTCAAAAATGTTAGCAACACCCCCCCGCCTTTGCGGGATGTGCGGGGGATATGGTCACTAGTGTAACCTGGAGGAGTGGCCTCATTTAACTCAGTAAATTCATCAGGGTTAAGCCAATCACAACAAGGATTATGATCAGTGATTAGTTAATTGACTGTGACTGCCTTGGAAGAGAGGGGATCTAACATTAAGTAGTCCTATTTTGAGTTGTGAGGTAATATCACATAATGACCGGGATGGAGGAGGTCGTTATTCCAGTGACATTGCTAAGGCGAACAGCGCCATGTTTAGATTTTCCCGACCTAAATCAAGGCACAGACACGGTCTCAATGGGGGATAGCTGAGCTGACTACACTGACTGTGCTAGTGGCAGACTCCACTAAGCTGTCAGGCTGGCTAACAGCCTGCTGCCTGGCCTGCACCCTATCTCATTGGGGCTGGCTAACAGCCTTGCTGCCTGGCCTGCACCCTGTCCCTCATTGGGCTGGCTAACAGCCTGCTGCCTGGCCTGCCACCCTGTTCCTCATTGGGAGGCTAACAGCCTGCTGCCTGGCCTGCACCCTGTCTCATTGGGGATGGCTAACAGCCTGCTGCCTGGCCTGCACCCTGTCTCATTGGGCTGGCTAACAGCCTGCTGCTGGCCTGCACCCTGTCTCATTGGGGCTGGCTAACCAGCCTGCTGCCTGGCCTGCCACCCTGTCTCATTGGGCTGGCTAACAGCCTGCTGCCTGGCCTGCACCCTGTCTCATTGGGCTGGTTCTAACAGCCTGCTGCCTGGCCTGCAACCCTGTCCTCATTGGGCTGGGCTAACAGCCTGCTGCCTTGGCCTGGCCACCCTGTCTCATTGGGCTGGCTAACAGCCTGCGCCTGGCCTGCACCCTGTCTCATTGGGGAGGCTAACGGCCTGCTGCCCGGCCTGCACCCTGTCTCATTGGGAGGCTAACAGCCTGCTGCCCGGCCTGCCACCCCCTGTCTCATTGTGGAGCTAGAGAGTTAGAGCCCTGTCTATGTTGGTAGATAAGATGAGAGCACCCCCTCCAGCTAGGATGGAGTCCAATCACTCCTCAGCAGCCAGGCTTGTCCTGTAGCACCCCTCCAGCTAGGATGGAGTCCCTCACTCCTCAGCAGGCCAGGCTTGGTTCCTGTACACACCCCTCCATCTCGGATGGGTCCATCACTCCTCAGCAGTCCATGCTTGGTCCTTGTAGCACCCTCCAGGGTCCATCACTCCTCAGCAGGCCAGGCTTGGTCCTGTAGCACCCCTCCATCTAGGATGGAGTCCGTCACTCCTCAGCAGGCCAGGCTTGGTCCTGTAGCAACCCTCCATCTAGGATGGAGTCCATCACTCCCTCAGCCGGCCAGGCTTGGTCCTGTAGCACCCCTCCATCTAGGATGGAGTCCGTCACTCCTCAGCAGGCCATGGCTTTGTCCTGTTAGCACCCCCTCCAGCTAGGATGGAGTCCCTCACTCCTCAGCAGGCCAGGCTTGGTCCTGTAACACCCCTCCATCTAGGATGGGTCCATCACTCCTCATCAGGCCAGGCTTGGTCCTGTAGCACCCCTCCAGGTCCATCACTCCTCAGCAGGCCAGGCTTGGTCCTGTAGCACCCCTCCATCTAGGATGGAGTCCGTCACCTCCTCAGCAGGCCAGCTTGGTCCTGTACACCCCTCCATCTAGGATGGAGTCCATCAACTCCTCAGCAGGCCAGGCTTGGTCCTGTAGCACACCCTCCATCTAGGATGTGAGTCCGTCACTCCTCAGCAGGCCAGGCTTGGTCCTGTAGCACCCTCATCTTGATGGGAGTCCATCACTCCTCAACAGCCAGGCTTGGTCCGTACACCCCTCCATCTAGGATGGGTCCATCATCTCCTCAGCAGCCAGGCTGGTCCGTACCCCCTCCACTAGGGTGGATTCCGTCACTCCTCATCAGGGCCTGCTTGGTCTGTACACCCCCTCCATCTAGGATTGGGGTCCATCACTCCTCAGCAGGCCAGTCTGGTCCTGTGCCACCCCTCCAGCATAGGATGGATTCCGACTCCTCACTGGCCAGGCTTGGTCCTGTAGCACCCCTCCGCTGATGAGTCCCGTCACTCTCATGCAGGCAGTGGTCCTGTTTGTGGGTGAGCCCAGGGAAGGTGGTTTTCCAATTCATCTTTGGGAAGGGCGAAAACATTTTTCACTCAAAGTAGCCTCTTGACTCTGTCTGCTTGTTGATCTATGATTACATCAGAATGCCTCTGACCTTCTTTTCTGTTTCTATTGATTACCATCAGATAGCCTCTGACTCTTCTCTGTTCTGTTGATTAACATCAGATAGCCTCTGGCTCTTCTGCTCTTCTCTGTTCTGTTGATTAACATCAGATAGCCTCTGGCTCTTCTGCTCTTCTCTGTTCTATTGATTACCATCAGATAGCCTCTGGCTCTTCTCTGTTCTGTTGATTAACATCAGATAGCCTCTGGCTCATCGCTGTTCTGTTGATTACCCTCAGATAGTCCTTGGTTCCCGTGTAGCTCAGTTTGTGACTCGTTGCAACGCCAGGTTGTGGGTTCGATTCCCACGGTGCCAGTATGGAAGAAAAGAATGTATGCACTCACTAACTGTAAGTCGCTCTGGATAAGAGCGTCTGATAAATGACTAAAATGTAATTAATCTATTGATTAACATCAGATATTCTCTGACTCATTTCTGTTCTGTTGATTACCATCAAATAGCCTCTGACTCTTCTCTGTTCTATTGATTAACATCAGATAGCCTCTGGCTCTTCTCTGTTCTATTGATTAACATCAGATAGCCTCTGGCTCTTCTCTGTTCTGTTGATTACCATCAGACTCTGATCTTCTCTGCTCTCTTCTGTTGTCATTCTGCATAGCAAGCCAGACCTCTGTCAGTCCACATCCATGTTTATAGGCCTTCAAGTCTTATGTGTTTCCCAAACTGCATCCTATTCCCTATATAGTGCACTACATGTTGGCCCTGGTCCAAATTAGTACACTATATAAGGGAAGCATACCAAGTCTTCAAGCATTCGCCCCCAAAAGCGTTTTAAAAAGCTCCAGGTCATCTATAAATCACTTCTAGGCAAATCCCTGCCTTATCTTAGCTCATTGGTCACCATAGCAACACCCACCCGTAGTATGCGCTCCAGCATGTATATCTAATAATAATAATAATATGCCATTTAGCAGACGCTTTTATCCAAAGCGACTTACAGTCATGCGTGCATACATTTTTACGTATGGGTGGTCCCGGTGATCGAACCCACTACCCTGGCGTTACAAGCGCCATGCTCTACCAATTGAGCTACAGAGGACCACTTTGAGCTACAGAGGACCACTGGTCATCCCCAAAGCCAACAACATCTCCTTTGGCCGCCATTCCTTCCAGTTCTCTGCTGCCAATGACTGGAACGAACTGCAAAAATCTCTGAAGCTGGAGACTCTTATCTCCCTCACTAACTTTAAGCATCAGTTGTCAGAGCACCTTACCGATCACTGCACCTGTACACAGCCCATCTGAAATTAGCCCACCCAACTACCTCATCCCCATATTGTTATTTATTTTGCTCATTTGCACCCCAGTATCTCTATTTGCACATCATGTCTTGCACATCTATCATTCCAGTGTTAATACTAATTGTAATTATTTTGCACTATGGCCTATTTATTGCCTTACCTCCATAACTTGCTACATTTGCACACACCTGTATATATATTTTCTGTTGTATTTTTGACTTTATGTTTTGTTTTACCCCATATGTAACTCTGTGTTGTTGTTTTTATCGCACTGCTTTGCTTTATCTTGGCCAGGTCGCAGTTGTAAATGAGAACTTGTTAGGCCCGTAGGGCTCTATACAGTATAGGCCCATTGGGCTCTTGTCAAAAGTAGTGCACTATATAGGGAATAGGGTGCCATTCTCTGGTCTAAAGTAGTGCACTATATAGGGAATAGGGTGCCATTCTCTGGTCTAAAGTAGTGCACTATATAGGGAATAGGGTGTCCATTCTCTGGTCTAAAGTAGTGCACTATATAGGGAATAGGGTGCCATTCTCTGGTCTAAAGTAGTGCGCTAAAGGATAGGGTGCCAATTCTTGCGGTACTACAAGTAGTGGCACTATATATGGGATAGGGTGCCATTCTCTGGTCTAAAGTAGTGCACTATATAGGGAATAGGGTGCCATTCTCTGGTCTAAAGTAGTGCACTATATAGGGAATAGGGTGCCATTCTCTGGTCTAAAGTAGTGCGCTATATAGGGAATAGGGTGCCATTCTCTGGTCTAAAGTAGTGCACTATATAGGGAATAGGGTGCCATTCTCTGGTCTAAAGTAGTGCACTATATAGGGAATAGGGTGCCATTCTCTGGTCTAAAGTAGTGCACTATATAGGGAATAGGGTGCCATTCTCTGGTCTAAAGTAGTGCACTATATAGGGAATAGGGTGCCATTCTCTGGTCTAAAGTAGTGCACTATATAGGGAATAGGGTACCATTTGAGATGCAGCCATATACTCAGTGGAGTGGAACAGCTGGGGCCTCAGTTATTGACTGAAACTGGAAGCTAAAGAACCCCCTCGCCCCATTTACACCCCCTCTCTCCTGCCCTCCTCCCTGCCCCACCCCTCCTCTCCTCCCCTCTCCCCTGCTCCCTGCCTCTCCTCTCCTCTCCTCCTCCTCTCCTCTCCTCTCCTCTCCTCTCCTCTCCTCTCCTCCCTCTCCTCTCCTCCCTCCTCCCCTCTCCTCTCCTCTCCTCTCCTCTCCTCTCCTCTCCTCTCCTCTCCTCTCCTCTCCTCTCCTCTCCTCTCCTCTCCTCTCCTCTCCTCTCCTCCCTGCCCCCCCCCCTCCCTCCCCACCTCTCCTCCCTCCCCACCTCTCCTCTCCCTCCCCTTCTCCCTGCCCCACCCCACCCCACCCCTCCCCTCCCCTCCCCCCTCCTCCCTGCCCCACCCCTCCTCCCCGTTGACCTGTTCTTGTATAGTAATAAGCTTAAAGCTTCCCAATGACCATCCTTTGTGAGTGGAACATCAGAGACTGCAATTATCTTGTCCTTGACAGAAGTGACATTGTCCTTCCTGCTGTTTAAAACATCATGAGAGGGAGAGGGACGGAGAGAGGAAGAGAGATATGGGGACTGAAAGACAGAGAAATAGACAGTGAGAGAGGTGATGCTTAGCTCAGTCTCGAGGCCTGTTGTCACCCTTTTTATCTACTCATGCACTGTATTCTCGTTGATGTGCTGCACACACCACACACACACACACACACACACACACACGCACGCACGCACGCACGCACACGTAGTCAGACCTAGTGGAAGTCAAGCCTGGTCCAGAGAGTATGACCTACATAACATCCCAGTTAGCAGCCTGGTCCAAAGGTATACCACTAACCCCCAGTTAGAGCCTGGTCCAGAGAGTATGACCTACATAACATCCCATTAGCGCCTGGCTCAAGAGTATACCTAATACATCCCTGTTAGCGCCTGGGCTCAGATCAGAGACAGGCCCTGTTAGCAGCCTGGGGCTCAGATCAGAGACAGGCCCTGTTAGCAGCCTGGGGCTCAGATCAGAGACAGGCCCTGTTAGCAGCCTGAGGCTCAGATCAGAGACAGGCCCGTAGCCTGGGGATCAGATCAGAGACAGGGCCCTGTTAGCAGCCTGGGGCTCAGATCAGAGACAGGCCCTGTTAGCAGCCTGGGGCTCAGATCAGAGACAGGCCCTGTTAGCAGCCTGGGGCTCAGATCAGAGACAGGCCCTGTTAGCAGCCTGGGGCTCAGATCAGAGACAGGCCCTGTTAGCAGCCTGGGGCTCAGATCAGAGACAGGCCCTGTTAGCAGCCTGGGGCTCAGATCAGAGACGGCCCTGTTAGCAGCCTGGGGCTCAGATCAGAGACAGGCCCTGTTAGCAGCCTGGGGCTCAGATCAAGACAGGCCCTCTGTCTGCGCCTGGGGCTCAGATCAGAGACAGGCCCTGTTGCACCTGGGGCTCAGTCGAGCGGCCCTGTTAGCAGCCTGGCTCAGATCAAGACAGGCCCTGTTACCTGGGGCTCAGATCGAAAGGCCCTGTTACACCTGGGGCTCAGATCAGAGCAGGCCCTGTTAGCAGCCTGGGGCTTTCAATCAGAGACGCCCTGTTAGCCCTGGCTCAGATCAGAGACGGCCCTGTAGCATCCTGGGCTCAGTCAGCAGGCCCTGTAGCAGCCTGGGCTCGATCAGAGACAGGCCCGTTAGCCAGCCTGGGGCTCAATCAAGACAGGCCCTTACCCTGGGGCTCACATCAGACGCCCTGTTAGCGCCTGGGCTCAGATCAGAGACAGGCCCTGTTGCAGCCTGGGCTCAGATCAGAGACAGTCCCTGTTGCAGCCTGGGCTCATCAAACGGCCCGTACCTGGGCTCAGATCAGAGCATGGCCCGTACCTGGGGCTCAGATCAGAGACAGCCTGTTGCAGCCTGGCTCAGATCGGCAGTCGTTAGCAGCTGGGGCTCAATCAGGGACAGGCCCCTGTTGCAGCCTGGGCTCTCGAGCAGGCCTGTTGCGCCTGGGCTCAATCCAGCAGGCCCGTTACAGCTGGGCTCATCGGACAGGCCCTGTTACAGCCTGGGATCGATCATCTCCTCGTCATCTCTATCCATCTTGTCCTCTCTCTCATCCTTCTCTCCCTATCTCCTCTCGTCTTCGATCTCTTCTCTCTCTCCCTCGCTTTCAATCCGTCGCTCTTCGTCTCCTCTCTCTCTCCTCCCTCTCTCTCTCTCCCCTCGACCTCCTTCTCTCTCTCCACTCCTCCTCTCCTCCTCTCTCTACTGCCAATCCGCTCACCCCTCCTCTCGTTCTCTCAGCCTCTCAGGCCTGTCCTTCTCTCCCCTCCCTCCCCTCTTCCTCTCTCTCTCTCTGAAAGGGAGATTAACTCCAGTATTGAACAGCCTGTTAGTGATGGGGGGGGGATCGATACAGTTACATATCGCAATGTAATTTTAGACGGTATTATAACGATGATTTGACTCCGAGTAACATTAGCTAGCACTAGTCGGCTGTACCTGCCCCAAAAATCTGGTATTTTTCATCCTATAGCTTCTCAATCTACTTTATAAATAGTGAACCAAACGGTTTCAGCGCTTTTCAATTTCCCATCGACTGCATCAACACTAAATTTGTTCATGCCTCCTCTCTTGTCTCTCTGCTGCAGACACATAGTGAGCAATATGTTTGGAACGTTGGATTGCAATAAAATCGCAGTATCGAAACGCAATACATATACAATCGTGAGAATCGTGAGTATCGTATACATATCGTATCGGCACCTGAGTATTGTGATAATATCATATCGTGAGGCCACTGGCAATTCCCAGTCCTAACAGCCACCTACAGATGTAGGATCTTAATTTGAGCCAGTTTGCTACAGCAGGAAAATAATCCTGCAGCAACAGGAAATGGGAATTATTATGTGGATTATAATTCATGGACATTTTTTGTAGGGGTTGATATGTTTTAAGTCTGACATTTTAAAGTGGAAATTACAAACTTTAGAAGCCTTTTTAAACCTTGAATATACTACAAGTTTGCATTTCCTTCAGTGCAGGAAAATTCCCAGCACCAAAAGAGTGATCAAATTAAGCTCCTATCCTGACTGAAGACTGTGACCTTTAACTTGGCCATAGCACCTGTTTGGTTAGAGTGTTTGTCTATGCTCCATGTGAAAACACCCTGACTGATGGCTATCTACCTAGCCTGTTGACGCAGCATACGACTGCACACTCCTTTTCTCTGATCTGCTCTAATACTGTATAGACACAACCAGTATACACTCTATCTGCTCTAATGCTGTATAGACACAACCAGTATACACTCTATCTGCTCTAATACTGTATAGACACAACCAGTATACACTCTATCTGCTCTAATGCTGTATAGACACAACCAGTATACACTCTATCTGCTCTAATGCTGTATAGACACAACCAGTATACACTCTATCTGCTCTAATGCTGTATAGACACAACCAGTATACACTCTATCTGCTCTAATGCTGTATAGACACAACCAGTATACACTCTATCTGCTCTAATACTGTATAGACACACCAGTATACACTCTATCTGCTCTAATGCTGTATAGACACAACAGTATACACTCTATCTGCTCTAATGCTGTATAGACACAACCAGTATACACTCTATCTGCTCTAATGCTGTATAGACACAACCAGTATACACTCTATCTGCTCTAATGCTGTATAGACACAACCAGTATACACTCTATCTGCTCTAATGCTGTATAGACACAACCAGTATACACTCTATCTGCTCTAATGCTGTATAGACAACAACCAGTATACACTCTATCTGCTCTAATGCTGTATAGACACAACCAGTATACACTCTATCTGCTCTAATGCTGTATAGACACAAACCAGTATACACTCTATCTGCTCTAATGCTGTATAGACACAACCAGTATACACTCTATCTGCTCTAATGCTGTATAGACACAACCAGTATACACTCTATCTGCTCTAATGCTGTATAGACACAACCAGTATACACTCTACTGCTCTAATGCTGTATAGACACAAACCAGTATACACTCTATCTGCTCTAATGCTGTATAGACACAACCAGTATACACTCTATCTGCTCTAATGCCTGTATAGACACAACCAGTATACACTCTATCTGCTCTATAGCTGTATAGACACAACCAGTATACACTCTATCTGCTCTAATGCTGTATAGACACAACCAGTATACACTCTATCTGCTCTAATGCTGTATAGACACAAAACAACCAGTATAACACAACAGTAACTATCTGCTCTAATGCTGTATAGACACAACCAGTATACAACTCTATCTGCTCTAATGCTGTATAGACACAACCAGTATACACCTCTATCTGCTCTAATGCTGTATAGACACAACCAGTATACACTCTATCTGCTCTAATGCTGTATAGACACAACCAGTATACACTCTATCTGCTCTAATGCTGTATAGACACAACCAGTATACACTCTATCTGCTCTAATGCTGTATAGACACAACCAGTATACACTCTATCTGCTCTAATGCTGTATAGACACAACCAGTATACACTCTATCTGCTCTAATGCTGTATAGACACAACCAGTATACACTCTATCTGCTCTAATGCTGTATAGACACAACCAGTATACACTCTATCTGCTCTAATGCTGTATAGACACAACCAGTATACACTCTATCTGCTCTACTACTGTATAGACACAACCAGTAAACAGTGAGGGGAAAAAAGTATTTGATCCCCTGCAGATTTTGTACGTTTGCCCACTGACAAAGAACTTATCAGTCTATAATTTTAATGGTAGGTTTATTTGAACAGTGAGAGACAGAATAACAACAACAAAAATCCAGAAAAATGCATGTCAAAACTGTTATAAATTGATTTGCATTTTAATGAGGGAAATAAGTATTTGACCCCCTCTCAGTCAGAAAGATTTCTGGCTCCCAGGTGTCTTTTATACAGGTAACGACCTGAGATTAGGAGCACATTCTTAAAGGGAGTGCTCCTAATCTCAGTTTGTTACCTGTATAAAAGACACCTGTCCACAGAAGCAATCAATCAATCAAATTCCAAACTCTCCACCATGGCCAAGACCAAAGAGCTCTCCAAGGATGTCAGGGACAAGATTGTAGACCTACACAAGGCTGGAATGGGCTACAAGACCATCGCCAAGCAGCTTGGTGGGAAGGTGACAACAGTTGGTGCGATTATTCGCAAATGGAAGAAACACAAAATAACTGTCAATCTCCCTCGGCCTGGGGCTCCATGCAAGATCTCCCGAGTGGCGCAGTGGTCTAAGGCACTGCATCGCAGTGCTAGCTGTGCCATTAGAGATCCTGGTTCGAATCCAGGCTCTGTCGTAGCCGGCCGCGACCGGGAGACCCATGGGGCAGCGCACAATTGGCCGAGCGTCGTCCAGGGTAGGGGAGGGAATGGCCGGCAGGGATGTAGCTCAGTTGGTAGAGCATGGCGTTTGCAATGCCAGGGTTGTGGGTTTGATTCCCACGGGGGGCCAGTATGGAAAAAATATATATATAAATAATGTATGCACTCACTAACTGTAAGTCGCTCTGGATAAGAGCGTTTGCTAAATGACGTAAATGTAAACGTAAATCTCACCTCGTGGAGTTGCAATGATCATGAGAACGGTGAGGAATCAGCCCAGAACTACACGGGAGGATCTTGTCAATGATCTTAAGGCAGCTGGGACCATAGTCACCAAGAAAACAATTGGTAAAACACTACGCCAAGGACTGAAATCCTGCAGCGCCCACAAGGTCCCCCTGAAAGCACATATACAGGCCCGTCTGAAGTTTGCCAATGAACATCTGAATGATTCAGAGGAGAACTGGGTGAAAGTGTTGTGGTCAGATGAGACCAAAATCGAGCTCTTTGGCATCAACTCAACTCGCCGTGTTTGGAGGAGGATGAGGAATGCTGCCTATGACCCCAAGAACACCATCCCCACGGTGGAAATATTATGCTTTGGGGGTGTTTTTCTGCTAAGGGGACAGGACAACTTCACTGCATCAAAGGGATGATGGACGGGGCCATGTACCGTCAAATCTTGGGTGAGAACCTCCTTCCCTCAGCCAGGGCATTGAAAATGGGTCGTGGATGGGTATTCCAGCATGACAATAACCCAAAACACACGGCCAAGGCAACAAAGGAGTGGCTCAAGAAGAAGCACATTAAGGTCCTGGAGTGGCCTAGCCAGTCTCCAGACCTTAATCCCATAGAAAATCTGTGGAGGGATCTGAAGGTTCGAATTGCCAAACGTCAGCCTCGAAACCTTAATGACTTGGAGAAGATCTGCAAAGAGGAGTGGGACAAAATCCCTCCTGAGATGTGTGCAAACCTTGTGGCCAACTACAAGAAACGTCTGACCTCTGTGATTGCCAACAAGGGTTTTGCCACCAAGTACTAAGTCATGTTTTGCAGAGGGGTCAAATACTTATTTCCCTCATTAAAATGCAAATCAATTTATAACATTTTTGACATGCGTTTTTCTGGATTTTTTTGTTGTTATTCTGTCTTTCACTGTTCAAATAAACCTACCATTAAAATTATAGACTGATCATGTCTTTGTCAGTGGGCAAACGTACAAAATCAGCAGGGGATCAAATACTTTTTTCCCTCACTGTACACTCTCTCTCTGCATGCTTTACTACTGTATAGACACAACCAGTATACACTCTATCTGCTCTACTACTGTGTAGACACAACCAGTATACGCTCTCCCTGCATGCTTTTGTCTTGGTTTGGGGTTTTCTATCACAGTATTGTTCTGCCTCTCTGTCTCTAAAAATAGAAAACAACATTTCCAGTTTATCAACAGAAGAAAAAACAAAATGAATTGGCAAGACGGACCAGTTTTGATTCTATTTAAGGAAAGTTTGCTCACTCTGAACAATATTTGTGTTTCCTTTGTCATCCTATGTTTTCTTTTTCCCAGGTCGAATAGTTGCTGCTGTTGGAGAGGCCGGCTCTGTCCGGGCTCCCTTTGTGCTAGTTTCTCTCTCGCTCTTTCTCTATATCCCTCCCTCTCTCTCTCTCTCTCTCTCTCTCTCTCTCTCTCTCTCTCTCTCTGTCCCTCTCTCTCTCTCTCGCTCTCTCTCTCTCGCTCTCGCTCTCTCGCTCTCTCTCTCTCCCTCCCCCCTCCCACTCTCTTTTTTTTCTCCCAGGATAAATGAGAATCCTATTGAATGAGGCAGGCCCTGTAAGACATTGTTGAAGGATGATAGACATGGTCTATAATGGTCTGACTGAGGCTGCCTGCTCCTCTCCTCTATGGATCAGTAATATGAGGTTTCAGCTCAGCTGGCAGGTCATCCATTCTAAACTAGACCTCTTTAACATTAATGTAATAAATAATAATAAAGTAATGTAATCAGTCAGTCAGTATGGTTCATTACACAAAAAGGCAACAAGGTCCGGTTTTGAAGTACTCTCGTCAACATGTTTCCACAGTGAACTAAAAGCAAACTTGGTGACATACTTTGTAGTGAAACATGGGTGCTGGTAGTCGCTCTGCTTAGCTTGACCTTGTTTTCTCCCTTTGATCTCCGCCCACAGTCAGAGGCTCTCAGCCCACAGTCAGAGGCTCTCCGCCCACAGTCAGAGGCTCTCCGCCCAAGAGGCTCTCCGCCCACAGTCAGAGGCTCTCAGCCCACAGTCAGAGGCTCTCCGCCCACAGTCAGAGGCTCTCCGCCCACAGTCAGAGGCTCTCCGCCCACAGTCAGAGGCTCTCAGCCCACAGTCAGAGGCTCTCAGCCCACAGTCAGAGGCTCTCAGCCCACAGCCAGAGGCTCTCAGCCCACAGTCAGAGGCTCTCAGCCCACAGTCAGAGGCTCTCCGCCCAAGAGGCTCTCCGCCCACAGTCAGAGGCTCTCCGCCCAAGAGGCTCTCAGCCCACAGTCAGAGGCTCTCCGCCCACAGCCAGAGGCTCTCAGCCCACAGTCAGAGGCTCTCAGCCCACAGTCAGAGGCCCGCTCTAGTGTTGACGTTTGAGGATTTAAAAGCAAGTACGATATTTAAGGTGCTGTGCAGCAGGTGTTAAATCCCTGATATCAAGAGTGGAGAAATTAAGGATCAAGGATGTCCTCAACTCTAAATGACATATCAAAGTTATGCCGCTCCCTTCTCTGCACTAATAGTCCAGTTCTCCCCATAGCAGAGCTAGGAGGGGAGAGAGGGGAGAGCTGAGAGAGGAGAGAGCTGAGAGAAGGGAGAGATGGGGAGTGCTGGGAGGAGAGAGGGGGGAGAGCTGGCAGGGGAGAGAGGGGGGAGAGCTGGGAGGGGAGACAGGGGGAGAGCTGGGAGGAGAGAGAGGGGGAGAGCTGGGAGGAGAGAGAGGGGGTTGAGCTGAGAGTGGGGGAGGAGAGAGGGGGTTGAGCTGAGAGAGGGGAGAGCTGAGGGAGAGGAGAGCTGAGGGGAGAGGGAGAGCTGGGAGGGGGAGGCTGGGGAGGGAGGGCTGAGAGGGGGAGGGAGTGGAGGGGGAGAGGGAGCTGAGAGATAGGGAGAGCTGAGAGGGAGAGAGGAGGGGAGATGAGAGCAGGAGGGGAGAGGAGGGGAGGAGAGCTGGGAGGGTAATGAGGGGAAGTGAGAGATGAGGGGAGAGTGGAGGGGGAAAGATGGAGAGAGTGGGGAGGGGAATAGATGGGTGGGAAAAGAGGGAGAGAGTTGGGGGGGGGGAGGGAGAGTGGGAGAGATGGAAGGGGAAGAAAGAGGGGGGAGAGTTAGGGGAGGGGAGGAGAGGGGGGGGGGGAGAGCTGGGGGGTGGGAGGGGAGAGAGGGGAGAGCTGGAAGGGGAATAGCTGGGAGGGGAGCGAGGGGGAGAGCTAGAGCAATGCATTTGTATTTATTAGGGATCCCCATTAGTTCCTGCCAAGGCAGCAGCTACTCTTCCTGGGGTTTATTATGGATCCCATTAGTTCCTGCCAAGGCAGCAGCTACTCTCCTGGGTTTTTATTATGGATCCCCATTAGTTCCTGCCAAGGCAGCAGCTACTCTTCCTGGGGTTTATTATGGATCCCCATTAGTTCCTGCCAAGGCAGCAGCTACTCTTCCTGGGGTTTATTATGGATCCCCATTAGTTCCTGCCAAGGGCAGCAGCGCTACTCTTCCTGGGGTTTAATTATGGATCCCCATTAGTTCCTGCCAAGGCAGCAGCAAACTCTTCCTGGGGTTTATTATGGATCCCCATTAGTTCCTGCCAAGGCAGCAGCTACTCTTCCTGGGGTTTTATTATGGATCCCCATTAGTTCCTGCCAAGGCAGCAGCTACTCTTCCTGGGGTTTATTATGGATCCCCATTAGTTCCTGCCAAGGCAGCAGCTACTCTTCCTGGGGTCCAGCAACATTAAGGCAGTTTATACAATTTAAAAATTTAAAAACATTACAATACATACATAAGAGATTTCATAACACACTAAGTGTGTGCCCTCAGGCCCCTACTCCACCACTACCACATATCTACAACACAAAATCCATGTGTACGTGTGTGTATAGTGCGTATGTTATTGTGTGTGTGTATGCATGTGTCTGTGTCTATGTTTGTGTTGCTTCACAGTCCCCGCTGTTCCATAAGGTGTATTTTTACCAGTTTTTTTAAATCTAATTTTACTGCTTGCATCAGTTACTTGATGTGGAATAGAGTTCCATGTAGTCATGGCTCTATGTAGTACTGTGCGCCTCCCATAGTCTGTTCTGGACTTGGGGACTGTGAAGAGACCTCTGGTGGCATGTCTTGTGGGGTATGCAATGGGTGTCCGAGCTGTGCGCCAGTAGTTCAAACAGACAGCTCGGTGCATTCAACATGTCAATAACTCTCACAAATATAAGTAGTGATGAAGTCAATCTCTCCTCCACTTTGAGCCAGGAGAGATTGACATGCATATTTATTAATCAAATCCAAAAATAAATAAATAATAAAGCCCTTTTTACATCAGCAGATGTCACAAAGTGCTTATTCAGAAACCCAGCCTAAAACCCCAAACAGCAAGCAATGCAGATGTAGAAGCACGGTGGCTAGGAAAAACTCCCTAGAAAGGCAGAAACCTAGGAAGAAACCTAGAGAGGAACCAGGCTCTGAAGGGTGGCCAGTCCTCTTCTGGCTGTGCCGGGTGGAGATTATAACAGTACATGGCCATTAAGGCCAGATTTTTCTACAAGATGTTCAAACATTCATAGATGACCAGCAGGGTCAAATAATAATCACTGGTTGTAGAGGTTGCAACAGGTCAGTACATCAGGAGTAAATGTCACTTGGCTTTTCATAGACGGGCATTTATAGGTTGAAATAGCAGGTGCGGTAGAGTGAGAGAGTTGAAAACAGCAGGTCAGGGACAAGGTAGCACGTCCGGTGAACAGGTCAGGGTTCCATAGCCGCAGGCAGAAGAGTTGAAACTGGAGCAGCAGCACGACCAGGTGGACTGGGGACAGCCAGGAGTCATCAGGCCAGGTAGTCCTGAGGCATGGTCCTAGGGCTCAGGTCCTCCGGGATGGGAGGGAGAGAGAGAGAGAGAATTAGAGGGAGCATTCTTAAATTCACAGAGGACACCGGATAAGACAGGAGAATAACACCAGATATAACAGACTGACCCTAGCCCCCCCGGCACATAGACTATTGCAGGATAGATACTGGAGGCTGAGACGGGGGAGGGGGGTCGGGGGACACTGTGGCCCCGTCCGACGATACCCCCAGACAGGGCCAACGATACCCCCGGACAGGGCCAACCAGGCAGGATATAGCCCCACCCACTTTGCCAAAGCACAGCCCCCACACCACCAGAGGGATATCAACAGACCACCAACCTACCACCCTGAGACAAGGCTGAGTATAGCCCACAAAGATCTCCTCCACCAAAAAAACGGACAGGAAGATCACATCAGTGACTCAACCCACTCAAGTGATGCACCCCTCCTATGGACGGCATGGAAAGCACCAGTAAGCCAGTGACTCAGCCCCTGTAATAGGATCAGAGGTAGAGAATCCCAATGGGGAGAGGGGAGCCGGCCAGGCAGAGACAGCAAGGGCGGTTTGTCGCTCCAGTGCCTTTCCGTTCACCTTCACACCCCTGGGCCAGACTACACTCAATCATAGGACCTACTGAAGAGATGAGTCTTCAGTAAAGACTTAAAGGTCGAGACCGAGTCTGCGTCTCTCACATGGATACGCAGACCATTCTATAAAAATGGAGCTCTATAGGAGAAAGCCCTGCCTCCAGCTGTTTGCTTAGAAATTCTAGGGACAATAAGGAGGCCTGCGTCTTGTGACCATAGCGTTTGTGTAGGTATGTACAGCAGGACCAAATCAGATAGATAGGTAGGAGCAAGTCCATGTAAAGCTTTGTAGGTTAGCAGTAAAACCTTTAAATCAGCCCTAGCCTTAACAGGAAGCCATTGTAGAGAGGTTAGCACTGGAGTAATATGATCACATTTTTTGGTTCTAGTCAAGAGCCGTGTTTAGCACTAACTGAAGTTTATTTAGTGCTTTATCCGGGTAGCCGGAGAGTAGAGCATTGCAGTAGTCTAATCTAGAAGTGACAAAGCATGGATGAGCTTTTCTGCATAATTTTTTGACAAAACGTTTCTGATTTTTGCAATGTTACGAAGATGGAAAAAGCTGTACTTGAAATATTCTTGATATGTTCAATCAAAAGCAAGATCAGGGTCCAGAGTAACGCCGAGGTCCTTCACAGACTGTACAACCATCAAGATTAATTGTCAGATCAAACAGCAGAACTCTTTGTTTCTTGGGACCTAGAACTAGCATCTCTGTTTTGTCCGAGTTTAAAAGTAAAACATTTGCCGCCAACCACTTCCTTATGTCTGAAACACAGGCTTCCAGGGTAGGACATTTTGGGGCTTCACCATGTTTCATCGAAATGTAGAGCTGTGTGTCGTCCGCATAGCAATGAAAGTTAACATTGTGTTTCCGAATGACATCACCAAGAGGTAGAATATATAGTGAAAACAATAGTGGTCCTAAAACGGAACCTTGAGGAACACCGAAACTTACAATTGATTTGTCAGAGGACAAACCATCCACAGAGACTAACTGATATATTTCCGACGGATAAGATCTAAACCAGGAAATAACTTGTCCGTGTAGACCAATTAAGGTTTCCCATCTCTCCAAAAGAATGTGGTGATCGATGGTGTCAAAAGCAGCACTAAGGTCTAGGAGCACGAGGACAGATGCAGAGCCTTGGTCTGACGCCATTAAAAGGTAATTTACCACCTTCACGAGTCTCAGTGCTATGACGGGGTCTGTAGTCCCCTGTAGCTCAGTTGGTAGAGCATGGCGCTTGCAACGCCAGGGTTGTGGGTTCGTTTCCCATGGGGGGCCAGTATGAAAATGTATGCACTCACTAACTGTAAGTCGCTCTGGATAAGAGCGTCTGCTAAATGACTAAAATGTAAATGTAAACCAGACTGAAGCGTTTCATATAAAATGTTTGTCTTCAGGAAGGCAGTGACAGCTTTTTCTAAAAATCTTGAGAGGAATGGGAGATACGATATAGGCCGATAGTTTTACAACCCACAACCCTGGCGTTGCAAGCGCCATGCTCTACCAACTGAGCTACAGGTGGTAATGTATGACCGTTGCTAATATAATATGGCTGTATGGTTTCAGAGTGAGAAGTTCTTAATAGAACCATTCTAAATAAAGGTTCTATAAAGAACCATAAAAAAGGGTTCCATGTAGCCCCCAAAAGGGTTATAACCATAGCGGAAACCTTTTTTGGTGCTATATAGAACCTTTTTTAATGGTTCTTTATAGAACCATATAGATTCCATTTAGAACCTTAGGAACATTGTTATTTATTCAACCTTCAAAAAAGGGTTCTATATAGCACCAAAAATAATTTCGCTATGGTTACAAGCCAAAGAACCCCTATCTGGTACTGTTTAGAACCATTACTTTTGAATAATATAATAATAAAATATGTATTTTATATAGCGCTTTTCATTACAAGAGAAATAAAAGCATAAAAAAAAAAAAAAAAAAAAAAACCAAATGTAGGATCCGGCAGGTAGGTCCGTTGAATTCCCTTAGACATTGAACTGAGGTACCTGATCTTTAGTCTGTGGTCTAAGGGATCTGTGGTCTAAGGGATTGGGGTTTTAAGGGGGTTTTGGGGGGGAAGGGGAATGGTAAAGGGGGCCCGGGAAAAGGGTTGGGAAAGGGAAAAGTTTAAAGGGCTGGGACTAAGGGGAATTCTGGGGATGTGGGAAAAGGGGTTTTGGTTTAAACTTGGGGTTTAAAAGGGTCTGTGGTTAAGGGATGTGGTTAAGGGTCTTTGGGGAAAAGTTCGAAAAAAAGTGGTTAAACCCCTTTGGGAGGTGAAGGGGCCCCT